GCTTCAAAGTATAGGGATAGAGGGAACATTCCTGAACTTCATAAAATCTATCTATGAAAAACCCACAGCAAATATCATTCTCAATGGGGAAAAGCTGAGAGCTTTTCCCTTAGGAGCACAACAAGGATGCCCACTCTGGCCACTATTGTTCAACATAGTACTAGAAGTCCTAGCAACAACAATCAGAAAACACAAAGAAATAAAAAGTATTCAAATTGACAAAGAAGTCAAACTCTCTCTCATCACAGATGACATGATACCTTATGTGGAAAAGCCAAAAGACTCCACACCCAAATTACACCAAGGCAGGAATGTGGCAGGACACAAAACCATTGTACAGAAATTGGTTGATTTCTTATACCCCAACAATGAAAATACAGAAAAGGAAATTAGAGAATCAATTCCATTTACAATAGCACTAAGAACCATAATATACCTTGAAATAAACCTAACCAAAGTGGTAAAGGATCTGTACTCGAGGAATTACAGAACACTGAAAAAAGGAACCGAAGATTCAAAAAGATGGAAAGAAATTCCATGCCCATGGATCAGAATAATAAACATTGTTAAAATGTCTATGCTTCCCAGAGCAATCTGTACATTCAATGTCCTCCCAATCAAAATTCCACTGGCATTTTTCAACGTGCTGGAACAAACAATCCTAAAATTTGGATGAAACCAGAAGAAACCCTTAATCACTAAGGAAATGTTGAAAAAGAAAAACAAAGCTGGGGGCATCACGTTGCCTGATTTCAAGCTTTACTACAAAGCTGTGATCACCAAGACAGCATGGTATTGGCACAAAAACAGACACATAGAACAATGGAACAGAGGAGAGAGTCCAGATATGAACCCTCATTTGTATGGTCAAATAAACTTCAACAAAGCAGGAAAGAATATCCCATGGAAAAAAGACAGCCTCTTCAATAAATGGCACTGGGGAAATTGGGTAGCTATGTATAGAAGAATAAAACTCGACCATTCTCTTACACCATACAGAAAGCTAAACTCAAAATGGATGAAAAATCTCAACGTGACACAGGAATTCTTCAAAATCCGAGAGGAGAACATAGACAGTAACCTCTTCAACATCGGCCACAGCAACTTCTTTCAAGACACTTCTCCAAAGGCAAAAGAAACAAAAGCAAAAAAAGAACTTTTGGGACTTCATCAAAATCAAAAGCTTCTGCACAGCAAAGGAAACAGTCAACAAAACAAAGAGGCAACCCACAGAATGGGAGAAGGTATTCACAAATGACACTACAGACAAAGGGCTGATATACAAGATCTATAAGGAACTGTTCAAACTCATCACCCAAAAAACAGATAATCATGTAAAAAAATGGGCAGAAGACATGAACAGACACTTCTCCAAAGAAGTCATACAAATGGCTAGCAGACACATGAAAAGGTGTTCATCATTAGCCACCAGGGAAATTCAAATCAAAACCACATTGAGATACCACCTTACCAGTTAGAATGGCAAAGAGTCACAAGACAGGAAATAACAAATGTTGGAGAGGATGTGGAGAAAGGGGAACCCTTGTACACTGTTGGTGGGAATGCAAGTTGGTGCAACCACTTTGGAAACCAGTGTGTAGATTCCTCAAAAATTAAAAATAGAACTACCCTACAACCCTGCAATTACACTACTGGGTATTTGCCCCAAAGGTACGGATGTAATGAAAAGAAGAGCCATCTGTACTCCAGTGTTTATAGGGGAAATGGCCTTAATAGGCAAACTGTGGAAAGAGCCAAGATTCCCTTCAACAGATGAATGGATTAAGAAGATGTGACCCATATATACAATGGAATATTACTCAGCCATCAGTAAGGAGGAATACCCAACTTTTGTATCAACATGGATAGGACTGGAGAAGATTATGCTGAGTGAAATAAGTCAAGCAGAGAAAGTCAATTATCATATGATTTCACTTACTTTTGGAGCATAAGGAATAACATTGAGGACATCAGGAGAAGGAAAGGAAAAGTGAATTGGGGGAAATCAGGGGGGAAGACAAATCATGAGAGATTGTGGACTCTGAGAAACAAACAGGGTTTTAGAGGTAAACAATGAAATTTGGAACACTGAAGAAATAAAATTAAATTTAAAAATAAATAAATAAATAATAAATTAAAAATTAAGAAAAATAAAAAATCATTTCCTGACCCTCAGAGCCTTAGCAGTAATTCTTTTTACCTATAGTGGCTTTTATATCTTTTATTGGGATACCCGGGTGGCTCAGTCAGTTAAGCAGCTGCCTTCGGCTCGGGTCATGATCCCAGGGTCCTGGGATTGAGCCCCGCATCGGGCTCCCTGATCAAGGGGGAGTCTGCTTCTCCCTCTCCCTCTGCCTGCTGTTCTTCCTACTTGTACTCTCTGTCAAATAAGTAAATAAAATATTTTTAAAAGATGTTTTATTTTTTTGTTTTAAATAGAGAGAGAGTGTGAGCATGTGGAGGGCTGGAGGGAGAAAGAGAAGCAAGTTCCCTGATCTGGGGCTTAATCCCAGGACCCTGAGATTATGACCTAAACTGAAGGCAGATGTTTAACAGACTGAGCCACCCAGGCACCCCACATAACATTCCTTTAAAAATTAAACAAAATACTGTGTGAACTGGGATATATAAAGTTTTGAAGCAGAAATGGGGAATCTGGGAGAAGATATTTGCAAATGAAAGTACAGACAAAAGGTTGATATCCAGGATCTATAAAGAACTTCTCAAACTCAACACACACAAAACAGATAATCATAACAAAAAAATGGGCAGAAGATATGAACAGACACCTCTCCAATGAAGACATACAAATGGCTATCAGACACATGAAAAAATGTTCATCATCACTAGCCATCAGGGAGATTCAAATTAAAACCACATTGATATACCACATTACACCAGTTAGAATGGCCAAAATTAGCAAGACAGGAAACAACGTGTGTTGGAGAGGATGTGGAGAAAGGGAACCCTCTTACACTGTTGGTGGGAATGCAAGTCGGTGCAGCCACTTTGGAAAACAGTGTGGAGATTCCTCAAGAAATTAAAAATAGAGCTTCCCTATGACCCTGCAATTGCACTACTGGGTATTTGCCCCAAAGATACAGATGTAGTGAAAAGAAGGGCCATCTGTACCCCAATGTTTATAGCAGCAATGGCCACTGTCATCAAACTGTGGAAAGAACAAAGAAAGATGCTCTTCAATGGATGAATGGATAAGGAAGATGTGGTCCATATACACTATGGAGTATTATGCCTCCATCAGAAAGGATGAATACCCAACTTCTGTAGCAACATGGATGGGGCTGGAAGAGATTATGCTGAGTGAAGTAAGTCAAGCAGAGAGAGTCAATTATCTTATGGTTTCACTTATTTGTGGAGCATAACAAATAACATGGAGGACATGGGGAGATGGAGAAGAGAAGGGAATTGAGGGAAATTGGAAGGGTAGATGAACCATGAGAGACTATGGACTCTGAAATACAACCTGAGGGTTTTGAAGGGGTGGCAGGTGGGAGTTTGGGGGAACCAAGTGGTGGGTACTATGGAGGGCACATATTGCATGGACCACTGGGTGTGGTGCAAAAACAGTGAATACTGTTACACTGAAAAGAAATAAAAAATAAATAAATAAAAATAAATAAAAAGAAATGAGGAATCTGATTTACTTCCCAATTCCATGTCAGCAGGTAAGGAAAGTCCTTGAGAGTCACTTCAGAAACCACTGGTCTACAGGGAAAATCCTAATCTTCTAAACCTGATAAATAAAAAGCTAAGTTCACAAGTTTGCTTTTCTGTACCCTTTCTATTCTAAACATATTGCCTACGAATCTCCTACCTCAAATATCTAATGTAGTCTCTTCAGCTTAATTGTTATTACCCCTAACACACTAGGCTTACTTGGTATTCCCCCTAACACACTAGGCTTTCTCATGAGTGTTTATCTGCCTGTAGTTTTCTCTATGCCTAGAATGTTTTTCACTGTTTCTCCTCCTGTTCAACATTCAGTCTACAAAACATAGATCCAAAGTTTCCATCTCTCTGTGTATTACCCAACTTACCAAACTGATTTAGTTGTTCCCATCTCTGTGATCTTAGAGCAACTGGTATGTACTTTTATTATAGTCTCTATCACATTTTAGTGCAATTATTAGTTTATATGTCCTTCTCTCTACTTCTACTGTTGACAAAGACTGCTACTCATATAATTTTTCATTACTTTAGACATAAAATCTCAATACAGCGGGTGCTTTATAAAATTTTGTAAGGATAAAGGTATAAAGATCTCATTGTCATTAAATTACTTTTCATTTTCTACCATGTAGTAACTGTAATAATTTTTAAATTTCAGTTAGAGAAATAGTAAGCTTTTTTTAATCATTTCATGCACTTTTAATTTTTTTTGTAGAGAATTAAAAAGTTCAGTGCTAACGTATAAAACTAGTATTTTTAGGGGAGCACTGTTTATCACAATGTGGATAAATACTGAATTATTATTTAAGACAATGACCATTTGGAATTTCTTCTTTTCTAATCATAAGGCTTTTCTACCAAGGGTACATCCTCTTTCTGCTTTTTAACCTAGATTAAAACTGGACAAGATACACTCTCGATAATGCAAAACCCTTGAAAAGAAAGAAAAATATACATTACTGAGACATATAAGTAAGTAGATGCTCTGTATTCTATAGAAGGCTTTGAGACAAAGCTGGTTTGTCTAGCACCCTTCATCCCTGCCCCCAGCATACAAAAATATACATACAATAAGGCCTTGAAAATGATTTCTTGCAAGGAAATGACAATTTTTTAAATAGTCATGTCCACTTGATTTGAGTCACTAGAGTAACAAAACTGTTTTCAAGAATACTTTAAAAATTCAATAATGTAACCTCTAGTACAGCTTGAAAGGCTCTGAAGGACAAGGCAATTAGATCAATATTAGTTTATTTCTAATGCTGGGCAGCATGAACAGACAACGCTGATCATCAGATGGGTTTTATTACCTGTCGGAGTGATAAGTCCTGGTGATAAAAGGCTGGGGACTGAATGCGGCAGAAGGTGAACATTGTCCTGCAACACTCCCAAAGAACGCTTAGGAGGCCTGCCAGGCCTGGAACTGTTGGGGAAAAAAAAAAAAAAAAACAGACAAAAACAAAGATTAGGTTAAAAACATGCTCCTTTTGGAAATATCATCAGTTGCAGTATTTGCTTCCTCAACTTTGTTTAATTACCAAGTGATAGAATTTTATTTTAAAGATTATTTTCATTGAGTACCAAAAGACCAATACCTTCCTTTCTACTAAATTTCCCAACATAGTTATGGCAAACATTTAAACCATAAAAGATTAATTTTATTTTAGATTACATTTTCAACGCAGCACTTTGCAATACAGATTACTTGTTTGAGAAACCCAAAGTTATCCCCTGTCCTTAAAGCTACATTTGATCCCACATATTAATACATGCTACTGAGACCTGAGATAGTGACTCACAGAATTCAGATTGTATAGAATGGGAAATGATTCTCTGCACAGAGAGGTAAAGAGGTAAAGAGCTAGGAGACGGAGAATAAGATGTGATATTTTATTATTATTCTTTTTTTTAGCATTTCCACAGCTGCCAGGAGACCACCAGGAACAAAGGGCTCCCACTCTCAGTAGATTTTTAAAAAATCTACCTATTTTTAAACCAGGCTATATAACCAGTGTTAGGGTACAGAGTCAACCATCCCTCAATTAGAGAACACTCTAGATAATGCAAGTCACACAGCGAGGTTTATTTCCGGCTAGCTGGGGTCCAAGTATCTGCCCGGCGCAGCGGGTTTCAACAAGGACCCCGAGTTCTCAAAGCCAAGGGTTTATATAGCATTTTCAAGGCACTTTTTCATAGCTATAGCCTGAACCACACTTTGATAGTTTAACTTTGTTTAGCTTTTCGCCACCCCAGCATCACCCTGGCAGTTAGGTGAGATTTAGGTTTACAAGAAATTTAACTTTATTTACATTTCCCTCCACCTCAGCCTCCTTCAGTTTTATGGTGGGGAGGGCAACATCAGGCCTCAAGGAACTGAGCCATTTGTCCCTGGAAATTGGGCTATTGAGAAGACAGCTTCTTTGTTGTAAATCACCAGGACACTTGTAAACCAAGGGAGACTCCTGTCTTGCAGGATTGTGATCTCTGCAAGTTAACTATTTGTTTTTCATTAACATCTGGTCCCTGTGATGTCACTGCCTAACCGCCCTGGTGGTATATGATTAAGTTGTTTTTTCAGGTTTTAGCTAGTTCCTCTTATCTCAAGTCACACACGCAGTGTCGGCCAGTTAGGGACGCTCAGTAAAATGGCTTCCTGGCCTTCAGGACAGCCATTCTTATGCTAACCCACTCTTACAGTGCAAGGTGCCAGCTTTTACTTTGCCAAGATGGCTGTACTTATGTCAGGGCTAGATTCCAGGTGGGTACAGCCTTGTTCTTCTTGGCCTCCACACCTGGAGCTGGTTTCCGGGACTTGTTTTTAAGTCCCCTGGTGGAAGGGGAGCAGGGACAGTTTAAGGGTTAAACAACAAAGTTATTGTTTAACCTCAATGGAAGCCTCTGGCTAAAATAAAAATATAAAATAGGTCCTTACATCAGCAGTGCACTCCCGTGGAGTGGCTGTACTATCAAAACCTGCCATGTTTGCTATGTAGGCTGTTTTTTCTCACAGATTTATTAGTGTTTTTAACTGATGAGTTGAGGCTAAACTTATAGCATTAACCTGATCTATTCCATTTAAACATTCTTCACCATAGTATGAGCAGCTCAGGAATTGCAGTTACAATTGTTAATCCATAAAGTAGAAAGTCAGTATCTGGCTTCCATGACTTTAATACAGTCAGCGTACTGACTGTATTATTTGTATCATTTGGACACTGTCACCACAATGGAGAGACTTAAGTCATTGAATATTAGGATCAAGTTTTTCTCAAGTCATCCAGTATGTCTCATATATTACTTTCTAAAGTTCCCCAAGATATTTCCATTGCTTTTTGTAAAAATGCAGTTTAAAAGCTGAATAATAGGGTTTTTGACAAAATACTAAACCACTGTTTTAAATAACCCAAGCCACATAAAACTATAAGACTCAGATAGAGAACATTTCCAAAAATGACTTTTGGTTCACAAAAAAAGTTTACGTTAAACCTTACTTTATCAATTTTACAGTAGCAAAGTGCTCCATCAATGTAAGACAAACACAGCTTTTTAAATGAAGACTACTTCTAGCAATCTTACACAGAGATACCATTGCCCAATTCCTTTTTCACACACTGTGCTGGTGTTATTTTCTTTCATTGTACATCAATATTGTATATCAGTCTAGCATGAAAGATTCTGTTTTTCTCATTCAATGTTTCAATTTTATAAACTGACTCTCCCCTCCTTCTTTGTACTTGATTCTGAGCCATAACTTATTTTATTTAATTCAGTATTGTTATCCTGTTTGCCCTTAGCTTGTTTTATGGCTTCCACTTTTAAGGAAGAGATAAGAGAAGAGCTATTTACTTCAAATGCCCTAAAGGATCCCAAGATTATTGAACAATGTTCATCAATGTATATCCAGTCATTAGAAGTTAAATAATCATCACCAAACCTGTATACTAAGTGGTTCTTTGTCTTTTCATTTGACAGAAAACAAGCCTACTAACTTCATTCAAGTCTACCCTATTACTTTGTACTTTTTCCAGTGTGAACATTTCAGCACTGTCTTCATACTCACCATCACTTTCAGACTGAATCCCGAGTTAGGCAGCTTGATGTTCCTTCTATTTCCATATAATGAGCCAGTTGTTGACAGTGCACATTGAAACCTTTAAGGTTTAACTAAATTTGTTCCAAATTTCTAGGTAAGCTCACAATTTGAAGTAGCTCTTTTCTAATTAGCTGACTCAGGTTTGAGAGGCATTAAAGGTTTCTCAGGTGGTTCTACCTTAAATTCCAAGATTTGAAAAAAAAATTGGTAAAATTTCCCACCATCAGATCTATATTGGAAAATTCATGGCTTATGTTATAAATGGCTTGGTAGTATTTACCACATATGTTATAAACCAATATCCTAACATCTTTTTCAGTTGGTTGGTTGGTATGATTAATTGAGTCTTCCCAGCAAGAATATATGCTCTGAGAAGGTTGTATATATCTCTGGGTTTGTCACTGCACTGAGCAATTCTAATGGTATCTACACACATCAGGGCTCATTAAATGGTTAATTACTCAGTTAATGAGATATATTTCACTGTTGCTACAGTTTCCAAATATCCTTAAATTGCTCTATTTTCCCTGACTACATGAATAGCAAACTGGTTGCATCATTTAATCATCAGATACTTGTTTTTAAGTCTTGGACTCCACAATGATTATAGGAGCTTCAAAATATGATCCACTTGAATCTGACTATGTACAAGATTAAAGAAGGTTAGATGTCACTATGTACAAGGTTAAAGAAGGGTAGATGTCACTTAATACCACTTCAAGAACCACTTAAGGACTAAAGGTCCCTGGAGTTATGCATATGCAGTGACAATATCACTTATTCAATCATCCAATAAACACTTTATCATTCAGTAAACAAGCATGCTTTAGGTGCCCAACCACTGTTTGTCTGGCATGGTATTATATATAAGGATTATAGAGATTAAAATGGAAGCTTGACAAAGGCAGCAGTTTTGGTCTCTTTGTTTATTGATATAATGTGAATACCTAGAACAGCTTCTATTTTTGAGGAGGTTATGGTCTAGTGATAGAGATGTGTTTCTGACCTGTTGTTTAAAATTTTGATTAACTCTTTAGTTTGATATCCAAACTTAAATTTATCAGTGAGCAAACATCACATTCAGATGCCTTTGTTTCTATTCTTGGAAAGAATACTTGGACCCCTAGAATAAATTAATTAGAATCAAATTTCTAAAACCGCCTTATAATCAATAAAGTTCCATATTAATAGAAGATAGTTTTGTTAAAAAAAAAGAAAATAAAGAAAATAGTTTTATTTTTATCTTTAGGCCTAATGATCCTCTCTAGTAAGAAACTCCTAGCACTCCTAGCACAAGTTCTTGTATTTTTTTAAATTTAAATTCAATTAGCTGACATACAGTACATCATTAGTTTCCAATGTAGTGATCAGTAATTCATCAGTTGCATATAACACCAAGGGCTCATCACATCTTGTGCCCTCCTTAATGCTGCATTTCTTTTCAAAGAACACAAGCCTAACATGACGCAAGACTATGGAGGACACTGTAGAAAGTTGGAAAAGATCATTCATAACACATGATCCTCTTATACTTCTTATCTTTAAGAGTTTTATTAGCATCAGGCAGATATTTACATATTAATCAAGATAAATAAACAAATAACAAATAACGAGAAAATTGTTATTTGGATGACAGTTTAATCAGCATAGGCTGAAAGGTCCATCATTGCAGCATCCTTTCTCTGCTGAAATATTGACTGTGTTACTGATTTCAGTAATGCTTTATTTTACAGGGAACAAATAACCATGTAATTACTCTTTGATTGACTGATAATTGCTTGTTGGCAATTATTTGTTTTCTGTTTAATCACAAAGTTATTTGCACTCTGTAAAATAAAACAGCTTTAAAAAAATTTCCCACCCAAATGGCTCAGTGGTTGTATCACCCATGAACACCATAAACAAAAGTTAAGGTACAAGACACACAACCCAATAAAGCAAAGCTTTTACTAAATAACTCAGCTAAATCTTTAAGAGCTTCAGATTATAGAGTCAACATTAGATTACACCTAATTAATGAGTGGTTTGTAGGGAAATTATATAAAAAAATCAAGATTTTCTTTCAGTCCAGGTCATTCTTTAAGATAATTTATCCTGATATGTATTTCCCTCTTTATTCTGTAAACTTCTTTAGAAGAAATAAGTCAGCTTCCTGAGATAAAAGATAAACCAACGTGAAATATTTATCTGCACTATTTCATATTTATGCACTTGAAGTGGATTACCATCAAAGCATTACCTCACAGTTTATAAACTTCATAGACTTGATGGTTTCCTAAGAAGGAAATTCAACAGGTCTTCTGGTATCAGTAAGATATATCCACGATATA